TCTCTATGCCTCCCCTGCTGTTACGATACCGCTCTCTCCACTCCGCCACAAACCCCGACTCGCTCTCACTCTCACTCTCACTCCGACGCGCACTCCATTCTTGGTCCCTCTCTTCTCCTGCTGCTTCACCCCTGCTCCCCCTCTTCCTTCTCTCCTCCCAACCACTCTCTCCATCCGAAGACTCGTTATAGCCTGATCTCTGTGCATCTCCGTATGCCAAATACCTACGACCAGTACTGTAGCTCCGATACGCATCATGGTCGTACTCATCATTCCTGTCAACTTTATCATCCTCTCCGTTCCACTCCTCATGCTGCCATATCCTTCTGCCCTCACCCCTCCTCCCTGTATCGCTCGCATTGCGAAACAAATCCCTCTCGTGTCCCTCGTACTCTCGCTCCCCCCCTCCTCTGTGTATCCACCGCCCATCTCCGTCACCATCTCGCATGGTCTCTCGGTCACGATCATACTCTCTCCTCCCATGTCTCTCCTCCCTTGCCTCCCTATACTTTGCATAGTTGTATTCCCCCTTTCTCCTCCTCAAGTTTCCACTACCAGAACCCTCATAACCCTTATCATTCGAATAGTCATGCCTCCTCCCATGTCTTTCCCCTATGCCCTCATCATCCGAAAATTCCCTCCTCTCCCTATCCGGCACCCCTCTCCTGTCCTCCCCTCCCTCCCATTCTCCACTCCTCCTCCGGGCACCATTTCCCCTCTGCCTGTCTCCATGGTCCTCTTGCTCTCCAATTTCCTTGTTCCCCTGCTCTCCTGATTTTTCGTATCTGACAAAATCTGACTCGTCTCTCAACCTGCCTCGCCTCCCTTCCTCTTTTCTCTCATTCGCCCAAAATTCGTCGCCTCGCGCACCCGTCCTCCGCGTTTCCGCCTTCCTAGCCCCGTCCCCCCCGCCCCTCTCCCGTTCCCCCTTCAACCTTCTTCCCCTCTCCCTCTCTGGTGTTCTTTCCGCTTTCCGCTCCGCCCGTCTCTCCCCGAAACCCCTCGCAACCAACCCGAATTTCTCGAGCATCATGAGCCTACCAGGGGTAAGCGGACCGAAATCCCCCGTGGGAGAAATCCCTCCGCGCAACCTGCAGCCACACTCCCCATGCCCTTCCGCCCCTTCCCCCTCTTCCCCCTCGCCTTTTTCCCGCACAACCGCGAGCCCTCCCAGCCTTGCCCTGCAGGTCTGCGCAACCCTTGTTTCATTTTCACCCGCGCGACCTGGAATATCGACCAATAGCGGATGCAGCCCGCGCCTCTGCCGAACCACGTGTTTCAAATCTCGGTTTAGGTCATTGCCCGAACCTGGTGGTGATTTTTTTGGGGATGCTGTTGCTTTGGCGGAACGTTTCGCTTGAAGATCGGTTTCCGCATGTCCTGCGGAAGCGGATGCGCGGAGAAGCCTCCCCCCCGCCTTGCCTTTCCCCGCCGCTCCGCCAGTTCCGCCAGCTGCCGACACAGCCAGAGCAGCTACAGTGTTCCGCGAACCGACCCTGCTATTTGAACTAGCGCTGCGCCTTACTGATTTACACTGATTGCTTGTACGCGTCACAAGCCGGTCGTCGTTCACTCTAACGGAAACCACGCCGCCGTTTGTTACACTCGGCCGGGCTGAGAACAAATTGCCTGCTCGCCCGCAAGCCGCCGTCTGCGCGACCGGCGAAACCATTCCGCCAGTGTTACCAGCTCCGCCAAAGCTCTTCGACGCTCCCAGCTGCGGCGGCGTACTCACCCTGGCTCTCCCGTTATTTCGAGGCGACTTAATTACACTCGCAGTTCTACCACTCTGGCTGCAGCTACTGCTGGGTCTCGATCCCCAGCCCCCGCCACTCCCGCCACCAGCGTCAACTCGCGCAACTGCCGCCGCTGCTGCCGGCGCCATAATCGCGTTGTGACGACCGGCGCTGACGCTCACGCCGACGCGCACAGGCGACCGATCGCTGCTTACTCGGTTCCCATTTGTTCCGCCATTTCCGCTGGAGCTGTTCGGACGGCGCCCCCCGCTTTTGGCGGGGCCGATTGCGGAGGGGCTTTTAGGAAAGGCTGCTTTGTTCTTGAACACTATCGCGGGGCTCGTGTAGCTCTTCGGGATTGAGCCGTATGTCGTAGGAGCAGGCAAGCTGGCAGCGGCGGGCCGCCCACGTGACGGGGCAGAGAGCGGTGCGGGGTCTGGCGCGTGTCGGCCACAAGCCGCAGTAGGGCTCTTTTGGGGAACCGATTTCGGGGTCCTCGGACTTCTCGACGACTTAGCGGCGTTAGGCGAGGGACCGGGAGACGTAGCGGACTGGTTACCGGGTAACGCCGGACTGAGCTGTTCAGCGAAGTCCTGGGGTGGTTCTGGTGGAGAGCGGACCTTCGACTTGGGATTCAGCGACGAGAGAAGAGAGGAGATGGAGCGCATTAGACGGTTTCCCTTAAAAGGGCTCGTCTGCTCCTCCGTATAGTCACACTCGTAAGAGCGGGTACATGACACAGTAGCACATGTATTCTCGGCGACTGTGTTGGGGGACACGCAGGAAAGTTCCCCGCTTTTTTTAGCCGGAGGGGACTGAGGTGGACCGTGGATTTCGCCTCGGCTCGCGGTAACTCGCACTGCGCCATTGTTCCGCGTCGCCTGCGAAGACCGCGGACTGCGCTTATCTTTGCTCGACGCACCCTTCTTCGCGTCTGCGGGGCCGGTTGGGGTTGGCGGGGCGGAAAGTTGCGCCGAAGCGAGGAGATGGCGGAGATGTGGCGGAGCGAGGTGGCCGTTCGCTGCGGATTCCGTGTCGCCCGCGAAGACCTCGACGGACGAGCACACGCCGACCGCGGGCGAAAGCGTCGCAAGCAGGAAACGTTCGCTTGACGTCGCACGGAGTCGCTGGAGAGTGAGGCGAACGCGATGGCGACTGAGCGGGCCAGAGCACTCGGGCCGACGAAGCCAAAATCTGGTAATATTGAGGGGGGGGTGATAGGAAGCGGACAGGAGATATATACGCAGATTAAAAAGTGTTATTAATCTGCGACGACTGGATTGCGAAGGATGCGGAGAGGGCGACTCACTCGATGGCGGACCACAGCGCGCCGACCGACAGAGACCCCACAGCTTTCGTCCAATCAGCTGCTTCCATTCCTTCCGCCAGCTCGTAAACGCTTGCACCGTCCGACAGCATCTCCGCGGAGCACCCGAGCGCGTCGCCAGTGCCCTGGCTGAAGCAACGAATCACAGCCCGCCATTTGTCCACGATTAGCACGGGTTCCGCGGCGGTTTTTATGGCGGAAGCGGCGTTAGGAGGAAGAGGCACGTCACAAGGGGAAGAGGCGGCGGAAGGGGTAAGGGTCGCGGCGGGGAGCGAGAGAGGCTGGACCTTGAGAGCTTTAAACTGGGTTTTGTAATGCGCCATGGCGTGTGGCTTGGATCGTGCTATTGCATGCGCGTGAGTGCAGTTGGCGTGGGCGCACGTGCTGCTGAAGCTACGGTCATGGCAGGCGACGGTCACGAGAAAATGGCGTTAGTGACGGTCACGAGAAAATGGCATTAGTGCAGTAGAAAACTTCCTCAATCTAGCGCTATTGCGAAACTCTGAAAAGCATGATGCTTCATGTTGTGGAGTGGAAGTGAGAACGTGACGGGATGTGTTGCGTTGGCATGAGAAGCCAACGCATGGCGTGGCGATGTGTTTTCTCCATTCGGATTCCCATTTCTCTTCCACCCAAACCATTCCCCTCCCCGTAACCTCCCTCTCTCTCCAAACCTAACAGTCGGTTGCCACTTCCAAGTTCCAACTGACCAAACCGAACAGGAGGAAGGGAAGGGAAGGGCAGCGCGAGATTTTCCTTTCTACGCAATGCGATCACGTCCGAAAAGTGGAGTCTGTCAGCCGACAGCAAAGCGATTCAATAAACACCTGCCCAGTTAGGAGATGCCCTGAAATCTGGCACTTGCGTTGCTGTCTTGATTCTGGAAAGGTCAATACTCACATCGGAGATCATGGAGGGTTTGATTTGAAGGCCAAAAGGGGATTGGACCTTGGCTGTGCCTGGACGGAACTGAGAGGGTTCCGTAGCTGGCAGGTTTTCCAGACGCGGGACTTGTACAGCTCTGTCGAGAAAGTGAGACTTAGAAAACAAAAACCCGCGAAACAAGCTCGGGTTGCCAGCAATGTTTCTGAAATTGGACCGCAGAAAATACACTTGGTGGAAAGCGGAAGCACCCGATTGGCGTGTGGGAGTGACATGGACCTTTTTTTTTTCACGACAGACGAAGCGATGCGGAGGAACCCCGGTTGCAACAATGGCGTTGCCTGGCTGGTGTGCTACGTGGACGCTGGCGAGTGAACAGTGCGTAGTCAATTGGACCCACGGAAGTGGGACGAAATGCTGCACTGACGAATACCTTCGTGGAAGTCAGCAAATATCGGTGTGGTCTGATTGAAAATGGATTCTCGATTTGGGATACATTCGGTATAACCCAACGGGTCATTTGTATATACCATTCCATAAGTGCGAATTGGACTCACTAGTTGTATTTTCAGTAGCTCTTCCTCACTGTCCCCCTGAGCAGTCACGCACGAGGCTCTTCGTGTTCTTTACATTCCGAGGTTGCTTTCAGAGGGATACAAGTGGGTTCCTTGATGTTACCGAGGGATGTCTCAATCCATGATCCTGTACATAGCATTCCCACAATCCAGGTAATCTGAGACCAGAAACGTTGGGCCTGAGACCAGCCTAGAATGCTCGCAAGCAGCGACCATGAGGCGACCATTGGTGTTAAAGAGTCAGTCAATACTGCGTATCCACTCGCAGCTGTCATTCGAAAACCAATCATCGCCATTTCTTAGGAATCTCTTAGTCCGAGCTCTTTCTGCTTCCGCTAGTTCCGCTTCCGCAGCACCTGTGAACGAATCCACCTGCGCGGAAGGATCGGCACTTGCGGAAGGATCACCCCGCGCGGAAGGATCACCGCAGGCGGAAGCACCAGCTCGCGCGGAAGGATCACCGTGCGCGGAAGGCGCAGCATGGAACTGGATATCGCGGCCAGCCGCGCGGGAGGTGGTGCGGAGAGCAGTGGCGGGGGGCGGGGGAGTGGCGGAGGGGGAGATCGGGTGGGGGAAGCTGCTGGGGGGGCCCGCGCTGGAGGTGGGCGTGCGGGTATCCGGAAAGGGGCTTCCGCGAAGGATCGTGGTGGTGCACGGGCCGAGAGGCGTGGGGAAGAGAAGCCTGCTGGAAGGTGGGTTTGCGGGAAGTCATTGCTCTCACAAGTCAGCGGTATCAGCTAATTCAGATCATTATAAAGTCCAGTGATCAGAGGATCGTGGTGCTGCACGGGCCGAGTGGCGTGGGGAAGAGAAGCCTGCTGGAAGGTGGGTTGGCATAGAAACAGCGATTGTATGATTCAAATGATCCAGTTTTGAGACGATTCTGAAGGTTTAGGTGTATCAGGCAGTCAGTAGGTGTTTCAGGCGATCGTGGTGGTGCACGGTCCGAGAGGCGTGGCGTGGGGAATAGAAGCCTGCTGGCTGGAAGGTGGGTTGGCATAGAAACAGGTCATTATATGATTCCAACGATTCACCTGATTCGGAAAGTTCAGCTACCATTTCCGCTACCAGTATATTATTCGTCATCCTCTACCGTTCTAATTAATCTGTACTATTAATATCTCATTCGGTTATTGTAACCATTCCAGCCAGTTAATCCCTTCACATTTTGCTTGCTCCATGCAGATTTGGTGAACGAATGGGTCAAGAGCGGTGCTCCAGTAGCATACGTTGACCTAGAAAGGCATCTCATCCCTCCCTCGCAACCTCCCTCCTCACTGCACTCCACACCACTGCACCACACGTCACCGAACCTCCTCGCCTTAAGCCAAACGCCTCAACCACCCTCCCACCAAACCTCCCACCAAACCTCGCACGAAGCCTCGTCGCCTCCTAGTGCACAAGTTCTGGAAATTCCATGGCTTCCTTCTTGGATGCTTCCTCCTGCCACCTTACCCACATCCACACATCCCTCTACTATCACACCTCTCAATACAGCCCCAAACCTCAGTACAGCCCCACCCCTCGATACAGTCACACCCCCTCCTCAACCGCAGCTCTCTTCTCTTCGCTCGGACATCGAGTCAGCTCTAGAAACCCTCGTGCTGCGTGCTATTAAAGAGCGGCGTCTACAGTCACACGACCTGCTGCAGGCCCTGGAGCGGCGTGTGCATGTGGTAACCGCGCTAGAGACGCTACTCTCGGGCGGGACTGGGGGGGGGTTCGGGGGGTCTGGGGGGAGGAATGGGGAGGAAGGGGAGGAAAAGGGGGGGTGTGAGGGAAGGCAGGTGGAGGAGCTTTGGGAGGAGTCGATGCGATTGGTGCAGAGGAGGTTGCAGGAACAACAGGTGGAGGCGAAGCAACAGCTGGCGCATTCACAACCCGTGCCGGGAGCATGTGATATTGCAGGGTGGGGCTATAACGAAGATCATTTGTTACTGAAGGCTTGGGCGCAGGAATCGGTTGAAAATACAGAAAGAGAATTAAGAGAAGAATCAAATCGACAAAGTGAAGACAGAGCTTCTCTTTCCGAACCTGCCGCATCAACGATTGCCAGCATGTGCCTCGCCAAGCAGCTGCTGCGAATACAGGAGGTTCGGCGGTGGAGGTCGGGACCGAACCTGGCCGACAGCCCCGGGCAGGGGAGGTCCGGGCCAGGCGTGGAAGGCAGGTTCGGGCGCAGGAGAGGGGATGCCGAGGCGGCTGTCGCCTGGAGTGGGCTGTTGATTGACTTGCTTGTTGTGGCAGGAGGCACGAGAAAGAGCAGCAAGCTGAGATGGCGACATAAGCCTTTTCAGGTGAGTGTTAGCAGCAATGTGAGCAGGAGAGGGGATGAAGAGGCGGCTGTTGCGTGGAGTGGGCTGTTGATTGACTTGCTTGTTGTGGCGGGAGGCACAAACTGAGATGGCGGCATAAACTCTTCCAGGTGAGGTGAACCTCAGTTTCCTTTTTGAGGAGCCTCAGGCATCGACTGACAGAAAGATCAGCAAGCTGTGTTGACTTGGTGATGCATGTAAGCCCTTCCATTTGATGAGTGTCAGCAGCAAACTGTGATTTTCTGATGTGCTGATTTTCTGATGTGCTGATTTTTTGCTGTGCTGATTTTCTGATGTGCTGATTCTCTGATGTGCTGATTTTCTGATGTGCTGATTTTCATGGCATGCATCTGTGCCAACTTGCACCCCTCACAGCCTATCCTGGCGATTAACGGATTCCACGTGTTACGCCACGCGCCATGCAGCCATGTCGTATCCACAATATCACCAACAGCAGCACCAACATCACCACCGAAACCACCATTAGCATCAGCAGCAGCAGTAGCAGCAGCAGCATCACCAGCAGCACCATCACCACCATCAGCAGCAAGCCTGTGTGAGGGGGCGGATTTCCACGATGCGTTGCTGCTGCGCCTTCTTGAGGCCACAGCTAGAGGGAGGGACGCAGCTCCCAGGGTGCTGCTCTGCTCCTCCGACAGGTGCGTTCAAGACCGATCTTTCCAAGAGAAGCTCTCTTTCGCACTCGGAATGGTTTTAACACAGTCTCTGGTTTTTGCAATTTTTGAAATCCTTACAAATAAAATAAAAACACAATTGAAACAAAACAAAACAAAACAAAACAAAAACAGTGCTCTTACTTATATCTTGTCTGGTGTTTTCTATCATCAACAAAGACCACTGGTGCACAAGAGAACGCAGCCTTCCTCTTGGTCCTGATGCGGTCACCACCTCACTTCTCTTTGAACACCTCAATAATCAGCGCAGTTACCACCATGTATATCCCCCCTTATCCACCTTTGAGATTTCTAAACATAATTATCATCGCAATTACCACTGGATTTCCCGGTATTTTCCCCACTGCTCTCTGTTCCGTGCTGCCTTTGTGTGTGCATGTGACACAGCTATTACTCAGATCAACTGTCTGCTGATTTCGGCACACAGGCACTTTTCCACCCACACGAGGTGAGTGTGTGGGGGATGTGTGGGTGTATGTGTGTGGGCGGGGGGGGCATGTGTGTGTGTGTGTGTGTGTGTGTGTGTGTGTGTGTCTGATTGTTTGTGGGCATTTGAAGGTGCTCGCGTACGTGCGCGCGCGCGTATGTGTGTGTGCGTCTCTCTGCTCCTCCCTTTCCTGCTCCCACTTCTTCCGCGGCTCCCTCTCTCCCTCTGCTCCTACTTTCCTGCTCGCCCTTCCCCATCCCTGGCCCCTTTTCCCTTCTCTCCCTTCTGCATTCTTCATTGGACTCATTCGTTTATTGGCCATGTGATAAAAGTTGGGTTTTGAGACGTCTCAAAACCCAACTGGAGCTCTTCCGTTTGCTCCATCATTGATTGCCATTCATTTTTTTCCACCCAATACCCTCCCTTCTCCCCTTGCCATGCATGTCAATAGATCTCCATACCCCCCCCTCCCCACGTGCCTTCCTGTGCATTTTGACTCGTCTTGATACTCCTCCAACCCCTCCCATCCCATTGCCTGTCCACCCCGCACACTGCCAGCTCTTTGGCTGGCTGCCGGAGGAAGCTTCCGTGCACCTCGTTCCCTCCACCTTCACTCCCCTCCAGGTAGGTGATGGCCTTTTTTTCCTTACAACTGCCTTTTGAACCTTTCAAAGGTCTAACTTTGTGACTGTTGAGTCGACTCAAAAGTCACCTCCTTACATGTGCCTTTTAAACCTTACAAAGGTCTACCTTTTCAACTATTTCTGCCCTTTTTATCCCATTTCTGTTCTTCAACCACAGCAGTACCCCCTTCCACCACAACTGTACCCCCTTCCACCACAGCAATACCCCCTTCCACCGCAGTACCACCCATAGATGCCCCTCCATACCCTTGGTCTCCTCCATACCCTTCGACCACATCACCACCACTTATGCCTCTTGGCCAATAGGGTGCTTTTTGGGGAAGTTCTAAATACACCCTGCAACACTTAGCCTTAGGTCCCATTTCCCTCTCTTGTGACCTTGGTCTCCTCCACGCCTTTCCACTGGCTTTCATGCTTGCTGCAATTGACTCCCCTTAAAGCGTTGCACAGGAAGGTGACTTATGCAATTGAAATTGTTTGATCGCAAATAATTTTTTTCTTTCTCGCCCACCCTCCTTGTACTTTCTCTTTGTTTATTTGGAATGGTTCTGCTTTGTTTTTATTTCCCGTTTTTTTCTCCCGCCCGACGACTGACTTATTGAGCGCAGTGGAGGGTGGTGGAAGCTGCGATTGGCTCCAACGCGCGCCACCTGGCGGAGTTTCATTCGCTGTGGGCTGGCTGGCAGAAAGAGGAGGACGAGTTTGAGCGAGTGGACAGCTGCGTGGACCATTACTTGGCTTATTTGCATGTATGTGCTGGTTTAGAGTGGTGAAGAGGTGGTTTAGAGGGGTTGAGGTGAGCAGGGTACGAGTTTGAGCACGTGGATAGCTGCGTGGACCACTACTTGGCTTATTTGCATGTACGGTGCTGGGGGTAATGGGAGAGGGACGTTGGTGGGTGTGGGTGCGTGCGTCTATGTGTGCTTGGGCTGGCTGGCGGGAAGAGGAGTATGAGTTTGAATTTGTGGATAGCTGCGTGGACCACTACTTGGCTTATTTGCATGTACGGTGCTGGGGGTAATGGGAGAGGGGCGTTGGTGGGTGTGGGTGCGTGCGTCTATGTGTGCTTGGGCTGGCTGGCGGGAAGAGGAGTATGAGTTTGAATTTGTGGATAGCTGTGTGGACCACTACCTTGCGTTCCTGCATGTACGTGTTGAAAGGAGTGGTTTGGAACGGTGTAGGGGTGGTTTCAGGGGGTTGAGAGGGCAGCGGGGTCTGAGTTTGAGCGAGCGGACAGCTGTGTGGTGGACCACTACGTAGCGTACCTACATGTATGTGTGATGAGGGGAGGGAGAAGGAGGGGGAGGGAGGAATGTTGGGGGTCATGAAACTTTGTGTCAGCATTGAGTTTGAGTGGCTTGCCTTCTCTCATCACTCTTCTCGTCCTTTCTCCTGTCCTGGCTGCACAGGCGACGGAGGTGGAACCAGCCATGCAAGCAGCACTCACACACCTCTTCCTCTCTCCCACCTTTTCTAGTTTCTCACCTTCTCCTATCCCCCCCATCTTCCTCCCTTTTAACGTAACTTCTCCTCCCGTCTCTTCCTCTTCCTCTCTCCCACAGGCAACGGAGGTGGAACCAGCCATGCAAGCAGCACTCACTCACCTCGAGAGGTTCGGAGAGCAGCTAGCTTCGGGAGAACAGCCTCGGTGGGCGGCTAGGTTCGGCAGCCCCTGGGGCAATGCCCTGGGAATGTGGAGCCGGTGGTGGGTAGAGTGGAGGGAGAGGAGAAGAGGAAAAGACAGAGTGAGATGGAGACCAGAGGATGGTTATGGGATTAATCAACGGGATGTGCATGCAAGGCAGGAAGCATTACCAAGAGACACGCAGGGGGAGAAGGAATTAAGGTTTACCAAGGAGGGTGAAGGGCCAGAAGAGGTTACTGTGGGGAGTGGGAAAGAGGAGGAAGAGGAGGAGGGGTGGATGGAGGAGGAGGAGAAAGGGGATTATCGACGGCAGCTGAGGGAGTGGGCGCGGCTTCAAATGATGGATTTCGTTCATGCATTGGCAACTGCCGAGTTCGGGGTAAGCTGTGCTGCTGCTGCTGCTGCTGCTGCTGCTGCTGCTGCTGCTGCTGCTGCATTGCTTGGGATCTGCTGCTGGGATTGATATGCCTCTTACAAGCTGAGAGCAAGATGGGTTTTTTTGGTTGCCCCAATGCCATGCGATCAGGAAGTTCCTAAAGCTATTCATTTTGAGGTGGAAATTACAGTTGGTCTCCATGTGTTTTTCCACGATGCAGGTGAATTATGGCAAAGACTCAGGGGAAGAATTTATGGAGGATCCAGCAGCTGCTGCGCTGCTCAAGGTGAGGAGTGCCATTTGCAAATCAATCACTATAACATGTTTTCATATAGTAAAGGGATGAATTTACGTATTTACCCTTCAAAGCAGCTCATTATAAATTCACTTACTGCTGTTACTGCCATAGTCACCATGTTGGCATCACACTCATGCACATGTACCATTGCCTTGTATGTGAGGACATGCGCTCTACATTTAATCAGTCTCTCCCCTGTGTGTTGTGATCAGGTTGGGTTGTTGTACCAGCAACGGGATCCCATGTACGTCCGACCAACATCGGTTGCGTTTCAACGATGTCTCACTCGCTGGTGAGATTTTTCACAACATTGTGCTCTTGCTTCTAGTTGCTTGTATCTCACATGATTTTTTCTCACCTCACATGGTTGTTTGTACCTTTCAGGCTTGTAAATGAATGGCTTCGACTTGGTTCCCTTCAAACTGCCAAATACTATTGGATGAGAGCATGCCGTGGCCGTCATTACCGCCATTTGATGCTGGAATGAGTGGCATTCAATGTCAGATCGGCTTGAGATGATGTGCAGCAAGAGTAGTTGAATATATTTTTGTTTCAATCATGTTTATCGAGACTTCCTTAAACGAAGACTGACGAATCGCTGCTCCCTGTCCCCACCAGAATGGAGGTGAAGTGACAACCTGTCAGAGGCTTGTTCAGGCTCCTGAATCTGCGGATCAAGCGCATACGATCAACGGGTCACACGGGTACGCAAGTCCCGTCATGGTGGGGGCTTGTCCTAAGACGAAAACGCCCAGTCAAATTGAGCTGCTAAGTGGGGCTTGACTTGTGATCTCCGGCTGAAAAGAGTCGTTTTTAACAAAGTTGAGCCGACTTGTTCAGTGAAGCCGGATACGAAATGCGGCCTTCGCCCCTTCAATCATGTCCTCGTCCGCTGGTACAGTAATTGGGTGGGTGCTGACTTCGAGGCTGATTGGCGTCGGATCGACAGACCACATCGCATCACAAAACATCGGTAACCGTAAACCTCGAGGCCGCCTCAACCTAACCAAAGAGACTCCAACCCACCACGTCACAAATAATCTTCGCTCAAACCCTCAACCAACCATTCTAGAATGCATACAAACCGCTCCGACACGCACAGCATCTTATGAAACGGCATAAGAGTGTATTATACACACCCGCAAGCTTTCCAACCTAGCTAGAGCTAAGGTGGAACTATGGTAACCGCCATTACCAAACTGGTCTAGGATGCAGCTTCTCCTCGTCGTTGACACTGCTTGTCCATGCTTTTATTATCTCGATTTCTGATGCCGTATCCCGCCGACTGTGTTAATAGTTCTCGATTTTTTTCGCACCATCCATGGCCCAGCCAGTAGCAACCAGGTCGTGCATGAGACCTCCACAACTACGAGAATTGCTATCTCCTAGCAGCAGACTTTATAGGAAGTGCAGGAAATCATTGAATTTGTAGCAGGACCTTCCCTAATCCATACAAACGCTCCTCGAGGCGTCCAACCGAGCATATTAGTCGTCTGGAGTATGTGTGATGACTGTTTTTTGGACTAACAGTCATCCAAGCATCCATTTGATCATGGCTCCGACGGCTGCTAAGTTGAGTAGAATATAGCACTAGGCATAAAGCTGGCCATGGCTCCCGCGACGAGCAAGCAACTTGAGCAGCCTACCTCATCGCTTGCTGAAATCGCGGCGGATAGACAACGGAAGTTTGAATTTCCTTCAAATGTGAAACATCCGAATAATATGGCCGCGAGCCAAACAAGTAACGACAGCCACGAAGGTCAGACCGCCCTGCTTGTTGACGTTGACGGTGACGGATCTGTATGCAGCAGTCCGGGTCCCCGGACTTGCCGGAGCTCTGAGGGAACATGTCAGATTCCAGTAGCTGCAACGACTGGTCTAGACGGAGGCGGTGCGGCCGGCGGGATCTTAAGTTGGGGAGGACGAAATGAATCGTCACTCAATACAGACTTGGAACTTTTAGCAAGAGCAAAGAGGCTAAGCCTTGGAGCAGCCGCGTTAGAATCTCGCGGAGATCCGTCTGGACACGACATGCTTATATCGGGGACGTACGCTGTGCATTCTCGTCTGCGAATCACGCCACTTATTTCGCAGCGGAGTGACGTGTACCTCTCTCCCTCCACGTCTGCCGGCTCTCTTTCCCACTCAACCGCGGGCAGCCCAAAGAAAAACCTGCAGATACGGCGGCCGGGCTCGACAACTGCGGGCAGCCCGACAAAATTCTACCAATCTCGGTCAGGATCCGCAGATTTGCTAGCGCACGTGCAAGCAGCAGCGGAAACTCAAAGAAGAAGCCACGGCGGGAGACAAGGGGAGAGCCTAGATGGGAGTCCCAGAGGAAAGGATCGGGGAGAGGGTCTTGAAGCAGTCGAAGGGAGGGGTCAGGGAACGAAGTACCGGACGGGCCGGTATGGGAAGGACAGTCCGTTACTGGAAACCAGGGATGATCTGACGGCGGCGGTTCGCAGCAAACGAAAGGAGCGACGCGTTACAGACGACTTCGCTAACCTTGTCAGTGGCTTCCTTTCCACCATATTCTCCCCTAGGTTTTGCTTTCCCAGTTCCACCCTCTCCGTCCACCACACCCCTTCTCCCCACCCTCACCTCCTTCTCATTTTATAATGCGCAGTGCTTTTTCTCTCTGTCTCCATCCTCTCCTACTCATTAAGGAATGAGTGATGCTTTTTTGTTCGTGCGCTTGTTTTTTCTCCTCGTCTGCAGGTGGAGCTGGTTCGACTGAGGGAGGCCAACGTGCGCCTCGAAGCGGAGGTGTGTCCATTCGACTCCTCATTCTCATATCTTGACCTGTCTCTGAATTTGACTCGTAGATAAATATCATTCTCGCTAGCTGTGCGACTGTGGGAGGCTAAACTTCTACTTGAAGAGGAGGCGCGTGCATCTGATATGGCTAGGAGTTGGTGGGTGGGGGGTAGTCGGGGAGAGGCATCCAAGGCGCGTGGTAGCTAGCAGGTTGGCTAGGAGTGCGACTGCAGGAGGCGAACGTTTGCCTCGAAGCGGAAGTGCGTGCGTTCAACTCGAGTAGGTTAATTCCGGTGGCGCCTGGAAGGAGAGAGGCGGCTCCTATCAGCGCCCAGGAATGTGTGTTTCGGAGGCGTCTCACACGTTTTCCCGTCTTTCGCTTCGTGTACCCCCTCCTCCCCCTCTCGTCCGCCCTCCCCCCGCGCCCTGCCCTCAGGTGTCTCGTCTTCGAGACAAGTCGGACCGCCTGGAGGGCGAGAGGCGGCGGCTGTCAGCACGGCTGGCGGCGGTTCACACGGCGATGCAGCAGCTGGAGAGGGAGGCGGCCATTCGGAGCCGGACAAGGGCAGAGGCCACTATGGGAGCCCAGCAGAAGGTACTATGCGGTGCTGTGTGGTACTGTGTGGCGCTGTGAGGTGCTGTGGGGATGCTGGGTGGGGTGGTGTTAGGGCGAAACCCGAGGTGTCTTGTTCACACGGCGATGCAGCAGCTGGAGAGGGAGGCGGCTATTCGGAGCCGGACAAGGGCAGAGGCCACCATGGGAGTCCAGCAGAAGGTGTGTGGAGCTATGTGTTGTTGTTGGGTGCCGTGTGGTGCCGTGTGGTGCCGTGTGGTCCCGCGTGGTGCTGTGTTGAGCTCGCCACCGGCAACGTAGCAGCTGGAGAGGGAGGCAGTTATTTGGAGCCGAATGAGGGCAGAGGGCACTGCTGTAGGCATGCAGCACAAGTTATGATGCGGTGCTGTGGGGTAATATGGGGTGCTGGAGACAGCAGAGGGCGCGAGGGTGGAGAGGGTAGAATCACCTGCTGCTTCTGAATCTACATAAGCCCGCTGTCCGCCCATCGTGTTTGCATTGCAGGGATGGAACCGGCGGTTCAGCGGTGATCCCAGTGCCATGGAGCGAGTGCCAGAGACAGCAGAGGACGCCAGGGTGGAGAGGACGGGCAGCAAAACAGATCCTTTCTGCCGTCGTCTTGTCTTGTCTTGTCTCCTCCCACCTTAACAGGGGTGGAACCGGTGGTTCAGCGGTGATCCCAGCGCCATGGAGCGAGTGTTGGAGACAGCAGAGGACGCCAGGGTGGAGAGGGCGGGCAGCAAAACAGATCCTTTCTGCCGTTGTCTTGTCTGTCTTGTCTCCTCCCACCTTAACAGGGGTGGAACCGGTGGTTCAGTGGGGATCCCAGCGCCATGGAGCGAGTGTTAGAAACAGCAGAGGACGCCAGGGTGGAGAGGGCGGCTGCTGCTGCCACTGTGGAGAAACTCGTGGAGGAAAACGCTCGCCTGGTGCAGCAGGTGGGTCTTAGCCTGTGTATTGGCTTGGCCCTTAGAGTTGCCTCTTTTACACGATCGATTGTGTATCTCTCTGCCCCATTCAAAAGGATTTTGCGAACACCTCAAAGCTGGCTCGGGGGCCTAGTGAGTGACCCTTTTGTCCTCCGTTGGTTTAAATTTCTGTATACCAATATGCGTAACCCCTCTGTCTGTTTGCAGATGAACGAGCAGAAGCTGCTGATAACGAATCTGGTTACCACCATGCGGACCACCACCATCCCGGGAACCCCTTCTGGGGTCCCAGCCAGCTCTCAGGGCATGCATGCTGGCCTCTCTCCTGTGCTGACTCAGCCTCTGCCAGCTCATGCCACGTCAGCAGCAGGAAGAACAACGGCAGCAGCAGCAGTAGTGGAGGATAACTCTCCCTCTTCCTCCTCTGCACACTCCCAGCTGTCCTTCCCCACCTCCTCTCTCTCCACCCCCGCTGCTTCTTCTTATGAGCTTCCTTTCACTGGAAGATCAGCAGCAGCTGCATTGGCAGCACTGCCAGTTCGTGCCACGTCAGCATCTGAGTACACCCTCACAGCTGACGTGGCAGGGTTGGGTTCAGTGGATCAAGCAGCATTGGCAGGGGGTGTGAGTGGTACCCAGGGAAGGGTCCCAGTTGCTCAAATGAGCCAGAATGTTCAGGACGAGTCCTCCAGGTCTCCATCCCCGCGCCCAACCGCTCTGCACCCTTCTGCACCGTTTCTGGCTGCAACGAATGGTGGTTCTTACACTGCCACAGAGCAAGCATTCCCGGTTGCCAGAGACGGTGGTTTCCGAACTGCCACTGGTACAGCATCCGGTGCTGCCAAGGAGGATTCTATGGACAGTCACGGTACCTTTCTCACAGCAAATGGCCCCTCTTCTTTCCTGCAATCCGCACACTCGTCCTCCTCGTCCCTTGCTGCAGATGCCTCCTTACTCCTGCCTGTAGTGCGCAGTGCTCCTCCTCCCTCTGCGGCTCTGTGTGCGCAGCAGCCTACCCCTACTCTGTCTGAATCATCCAGCCGGTATCCTGCCATCTGGCCCGTGACCTGCAGTGAGAGGGAATTGGAAGGAGCAGGAGGGGGAGGAGGAGAAGGAGGGGTGGAAGGAGGGGGTGGAGCAGTAGCTCTGACTGTAGGAAATGGGACTGTAGGAGACGTGAGGGCACGAGGGATGGTGGATGAAGCTGGGTCTGTTGTGGCTGCTGGCAGTGGGGCTGGTGGTGTGGGCTTGGTTGGTGCTGGTGAAATTGCGGTTAGGGGAGCAGGGGGTGTGGAGCGGAATGAGGTGTCGCTTATTGATTCGCCGCTTGTCGGTGCGCCGTTTAGGCTGGCGTTTTTCCTGGTGAAGGTGGTGAGTAAGACAGGGATTGTTCAGAGGCTGGCAGGCAGGCTGGTGGGGGGGAGAAATAAGCACTTGGGGGCAGGTGGAGAGACACAGAATGTCAATGTGGACGGAGGAGTTGGGTCGTCTGTTGGCATGCTTTAGGAGTGTTTCTAGAGCCCCCTGTAATGCAACGTTCAGGGGACTATAATGGGTGATATGCAGGACAGTGGCTTGAAAGTATGGGCTAATGCTGTGCTTTTCATCAATGTATACTATGAATGCTAGGGTATCCATGCTCATTTGTCTCAGAACAGTATGTTTGTACGAGGTATAGATGTGTTGAACAGAATCGGTCGGAATGCTCACGGTCGCCACTTCTCGAGTGGACTTGTAGCGGGTTCGCGCCAATTTCAACGACATTTTGCCGCTCGGTATTCCCTGTGTCAGACAGCCCAGCCTTCCATTCAGCGTCAAGAATTCGCAGAATCATTTGCATTGGCAGCATTCCTCATTTTGTCAGTCAGTCCTATCTCGCGGCATAGGATTAGTTTGTTAGTAATGGATGCTTGACACGATGATTCTTGCTATCACCCGGCATTAGGTTTCTCGCATTGTTGATGTTACATGGCATTATCGCCTGCGCGCATGGGCTGAGTCTTAGTTACTGGACTTCAACATTCGGGGATCCTAGCGCATTGCACGGCAACCATGAGATTGTCGCGATTCGCTCTCGTCGCCGCGTTGTTGTGCACAGGCCACCTCTTCCTGGTACGCCGAGGCTCGTGATCGTTGCCGTTGCCTGTTTACGTTGACTTAATTGCTTGTCATGATCCCGACTGTTGCCTTGCTGCAGCGTCGTAATAAGGTTGTTGCCGCGGTGACATTCCCTGAGATGAATGTCGGGTGGCGGTGTGACGGTGACTAGAGCGCGGTGTGATTTAACTGCTTTAGTTCAACAAGCAAATTTAGACGCCTCAATTATGTATACGAGCCTTAATAGTCAGCATAGCAGTCATAACTTATAACCGCTAGACGTCGTAACGAGTACGAACGAGTACCAACGACTGCGAGATGGCGTAAGAAGCTTTAGCTTTGTGCTTGCCCCAGTATATTGATACTAGAGCCATGATCTATATTTCCCACTTTCCAAGCATTCTCCAACCGTTGTCCCTTGCTCCTGGACCGACCCCGAGCCTCCCAGACCGGCCGCCGAGCCTCCCAGACCGGCCGCCGAGCTTCCCAGACTGGCCGTCAAGTCTCCCTGTTCCAAAGTTCCCTTCTTTTCGCCTCTGCTGCGTGTCCAATCCGTCGCTTGTCCGTTGCAGGTGAATCCGACCCTTGTTGCTTGTGACGGTAACTCAAACAGGGACATCACTGACAGCCTCGCGCCTTCATACGGACAAGCGGAAGACCGTGGCAGGGAAAGAGGACGAACAGGGACAGGAGCAATTCAGGAAGTACCAGAGCTAGAGCATGTCTCAAAGATTGGAGTAGTGCAGGCTACTACACGGGGTGGCCTATTAACGCAAAGTTCAGAGAGAGAGGTAGGTCACGAGGCGGTGTGGAAAGAGGGATGGGGAGAGCGAGGGTTAGACTGGGGAGAAAATAGGCAGGTGGAAGTTTTTTCAGAGGACAAGAGGCTGCAGAGGAGAGGAGGGAAAGGAGGAGGAGAAAGAGGAGAGGTCGAAAGTAGGAGAGGGGAGACAGGAGCCGGAGGAGGGCAGAAGGAAGGGCGGAGACGAGGAAGGAGGAGAGACGGACTGCAGCATATGCTGAGAATGGATGCAGGAGGCCATGCAGAGAGCCATGCAGAGAGCCATGTGGGGAGGCATGCAGAGAGCCATGCTCGGCGCTCGCTGTATGAGCCTGACGGGGCCTTGAGGTCACGGCACCACCGGCTGTTCAACTCGTGCTGGAGCGTGCATGAAAGGCGCTACTATCAGCCTGTGAGTCTTATCCGTTTGAAGTGACTTTAGAATCTACGTAAACCTCACTTGAAAGGCACTCAAAAAGTCACTAAAGAAATGATCACAGGCGTCAGTTCCAACCCCTGAGTCTTTGCGATAAAAAAAATCGGGTTATCGCTAAGATGTTCAGAGGCAGGTGTTGAATCTACTCTAAGTCCATCCTCGTTGCAACCCCTTTGCGTGCAGGCATTATCCGCCTGCGCGCCCGTGACAGAGCAGCTGGTGGAGCGTGTGTGAGGCCGCATGCAGAGAGGCAGCATTTACCAGATCACTAAAGGACTGCCCATATTGATCCTTTCGATCCTATCCTCGTTCCGACACCCATCCAGGCGTCATCCGCCAGCACGCCAATGACTGAAGAGCTGGCAGGGCGGCTGAAGGCGTATGCAGAGAGGCAGGCGCGGTGCATCAACGGCGTGAAGGAATGGCCTGCTTTCCTCTCCAATCCGTGCGTGCCACGTGGCTGGCTCTCATACCCATGCTTGTGTGAAGGGAATCATGCTTCATCATGTGCCTTGCACACACTTACCACACACTCTCTCTTCACACTCATGGTGGTGTGCTTTCAGCACACTCTCACCACACATAGCCTTTGAAACGACCTCTTCCGAACACGCTCTGCTCAACGCCTCCTCTGAACTCCCACCGTGCAGTGCAAAAGGACTTAAAGACGGAGTGGATGCATCCTCCATACAAGAATGCACTTACCTCTATCATCTCGACCCTGCCTACAGTGGTGAGCCTTGAGTCGACCCATGCAGATGCATGCTGCTTACATAACCTTCTAACCAACCGCACTCTCTGTTCTCCCCTTCTCCATCCCCTTATGCCTTCTCATCTCCCGTCCAGGCCTGGGCAACCAGCTGCTCTCCCTCGTCTCTTCCTTCACCTACGCCCTGCTCACCCATCGCACGCTCATCATCAACACACTTTTCTCACCACCATGCCCGCACGCCCACTCTTTCCCCACTTTTCCCACTTTCCCCTCTTTCCACTGTCTTTCCCCTCATCCCTTGTCCAGGTCTGGGCAACCAGCTGCTCGCCCTCGTGTCTGCCTTCAATTACGCGCCCCTCTCCAACTGCACACTCATTATCCACCCACTCCTGTCTTGCCTCCACCCGTCCCACCTTCCCACACAGGTCTGGGCAACCAGCTGCTCTCCCTCGTCTCCTCCTTCACCTACGCCCTCCTCACCAACCGCACGCTAATCATCAACCCACACGCACAGGCAGCCCTCTTCCTCTGCGACCCCTTTGCATTCACCCCCACCCCCTCCACCTGGATGCCCATGGACTCACCCACCTTTGCGTGAGTTCTGACTTCTGAGTGCTGAGCGCGTGAGTGCTGACCCCCCTGTGTTTTCAACTTCTCACCAACCGCACGCTAATCATCAACCCACACGCACAGGCAGCCCTCTTTCTCTGCGACCCCTTCGCTTTCACCCCCACCCCATCCACGTGAATGCTCATGGATTCGCCCACCTTCGCATGAGTTGAGTGCTGAATGCTGAATGCTGACCATTTTGTCTCAAACTGTTTCCTCTGCAATCCACTCGCATTCACCGCCACCCCGTCTACTTGGATGCCCATGGACTCGCCCACCTTCACATGAGCGCTGAGCTGAGTGCTGACCCTCTTCTGTGTCAAAAGGGTTTGACCCCCTTATGTCCTCTTCTCCTACTGCTCCTTTCTCTTCCATTTCCTGTAGAACCATTTCCACTCACTCCTTACTCTCTCATATGTCCACTTCCTCTTTCCCCGTTCACCTCTCTTTGTTTAGAATTGAAACCAGAAGTATCCGATAGTCTGCTTCCTCTTTCCCCATTCTCATCTCTTCTCTTCTCTCTGTTCTACCCCCTCCCTTAATCTACCCTCCTTTCCCAATCGCTCCTGCTCCCTCCATTTCCTGTTCTCCCATCTCCAGAGCTCAGCGCAATGTAATCACGAAGCAGTCTCCAAGGTTTGGCACGGCAGCCTATGCTGCAGCCATGGGCGCTCTAAGTAGCAACAGCACTACCACCAGCATCAGCACCAATAGCAGCACTACCAACAGCAGCGCCATGAACAACACAGACGTTAACACGGCTGGGGGGGGAGAAAGCAGTGCAATCCCAGGGCCCTCTTCTTCTGCCGCAGCTGGTGCTGCTGCTGCTGCTGCGGATGCTGCGGATGCTGCGGATGCTGCGGATGCTGCTGCAGCTGCCTCTCCAGTGAACAGCAGCAGCAGCAGCAGCAGCAGCAGCAGCAGCAGCAGCAGCAGCAGCAGCAGCAGCAGCAGCAGCAGCGTGGGGAGGGTGAACATGGTCTATGTGGAGCTCAAATTCACGTATGCTTCTGCTGCCCTCTGCTGTCCTTCTTGCTTGCTCCCATTGCCCAGTCCCGTACTTTTCTACTACTCACCCCAAGCGTTCGCGTCCCCCTGCCCCACACTCCCCCTGCCCCACACTCCCCCTGCCCCACACTCCCCCTGCCCCACACTCCCCCTGCCCCACACTCCCCCTGCCCCACACTTCCCCTGCCCCACACTCCCCCTGCCCCACACTCCCCCTGCCCCACACTCCCCCTGCCCCACACTCCCCCTGCCCCACACTCCCCCTGCCCCACACTCCCCCTGCCCCACACTCCCCCTGCCCCACACTCCCCCTGCCCCACACTCCCCCTGCCCCACACTCCCCCTGCCCCACACTCCCCCTGCCCCACACTCCCCCTGTCCCACACTCCCCCTGCCCCACACTCCCCCTGCCCCACACTCCCTCTGCCCCACACTCCCCCTGCCCCACTCTCCCCCTGCCCCACACTCCCCCTGCCCCACACTCCCCCTGCCCCACACCCCCCCTGCCCCACACTCCCTCTGCCCCACACTCCCCCTGCCCCACTCTCCCCCTGCCCCACACTCCCCCTGCCCCACACTCCCCCTGCCCCACACCCCCCCTGCCCCACACTCCGCCTGCCCCACACTCCGACTGCTCCATATTTCTCTCTCTCACGCCCCGCTGTTTCTCGCATGGTGGATGTGTGTCGGTGCTATGCTGTGCCCGCGTATGTGAGGCACGCATGTGCATGCTTGTATATGCATGCGTGTGCATGTGAGTGTGTGTGCATGTGGGTGCGTGTGTCAGTGTGTGTGTGCATGCTTGTGTGCGTGAGTGAGGGTGTGTGGATATGTAAGTGTGTTTGTGTGTGTTTCTGCGCGCGCACGCCCATTCCCTGTGTGTGTGCGTGGTGTGCATGTTTGCCTGTGTGGATATACATGTGTGTGTGCCTAGTGCATCAGAGGCAGATCTAGCGTTCTTCTGTCCACGGCAGCATCACCAGCACCACCAACATGGCTCCCTCTCTTCTGTCCGCATCCTCGGTCTGCTAACAGACGCCTACTTACTCCCTGCTCTCTACCACGCGCCACACTTGCAAGTGAGTGGAAAAGCCTGGTCTCCCTTTCATTTCACTCGAGTTCAAACCCTCTGATGCACTCCTCTCCGTTTTTGTTGAGGTTGATTTTGAGAATTCTCAACGCCCCCCTCCCTGCTCTCTACCACGCACCATACTTACAATACAAGCAAGTGAACAACTCCGAACTCCCTTCTTGAGGCGCCTCACGAATTAAAACTTACCGACTCCTGCTATGTACCATCCGCCACCCTGACTGGTGAGCAACCGTGTCTCCCTTTTGGACCCTGTGCCCCACTTTCCCCAGGCTGACTTGGAGCGCCTGCCTGGTCCCCAATCGCCGGGTGCTGATGCACACATTCCGTTGTACACAGATTCCATTCTCTCTGTGTTTTCTCTGTGCCCCCCTTTCCCCAGGCCGAGTTGGAGCGCCTGCCTGGTCCCCAACCCCAATCGCCTGGCGCTGATGCACGTGGCTCAACTCAACAGCACAAGCCTTCTCTTCCTGCCATATTCCCTCTGCGCCCCCGACATTCAACAGGCTGACCTGGAGCTTTTGTTCCCCGACCGCCTGCCGTTGATGCACGTGGGGCGCTACCTGCTGCACCCCGCCAACTACCTCTGGGAGGAAATCACCCGCGCCTTCCGAGCCTACCTCGCCCCGCACCAACACAGGGTTGGGATCCAGGTCCGTATTAGGTTCGGTATCCATTCAATCACAGGTTCGTCATACAGCAAAGATTCGGCGTTCAGGTCAGTGGTTAAAAAACACCCCTTTCAATGCATTCTCCCCTCCCTCTGCTCTTTGCCTTTTCTCCTTCACACATACCTCACATCCGTGTGTTCCAGAAGTACGTTCCAGCTGAGATTGTGCTTCTGTCACTGGTGAATGGGACTATAGCGGTGGCTGGTAGATGTGATTCAAAAGCCTCCACCTCTCACCCTCTTCCGCTCCTATCACCTCAGATTCGTGAGTTCCAGAAGTACGTACCAGCTGATGACGTGCTGCAGCGGGTGATGCAGTGCAGTGCCTTCTGTATGAGATGCCTGATTACACTCTCCTTATTCTCCTACACGCACACACACCTCAGATTCGTGAGTTTCAGAAGTACGTACCAGCTGATGACGTGCTGCAGCGGGTGGTGGAGTGCAGTGCCGTTCGGGTGAATGGGGTGCTAGATTTTCCCTCGCAACCCCCAAATTTCCCTTCCCACATTTTACATATGCTGCAGATTCGTGAGTTTCAGAAGTACGTGCCAGCTGATGATGTGCTGCAGAGAGTGGTGGATTGCATGGTGAACGTGACTAAAGTGGTGGGCCCCATATTGTCACACGAGGACTGGGAGAAGCTGACGAAGCAGGTCAGTCAGTTGGTCGGTTTGTTGGTCCGTACTACGCACTCAATCCCGCCCTCCTTAAACTGACGTGGACCTCTTGTGCTCAAGCTCCCTGGCCACAGCTTGTCTTTAATCCACGTGCCATGCCGCCGTTCCCCCGCACACTGAAGCACACACCCCTCAAAGCCGTACAGCATTCTTGCGCGGACAAGAAATGCTCAACAGGGGAAGGGAACCGCATGTCGAGGCACGTTGGTTAATCGAGGGCGAAACCCTGGAGTCTTCAGAAAGAAGCTGCAGTGGAAGTGACTGAGAATTAAGTCCACGTGGTAGCTTGTAATGGCTTCACGTCATGCATGGATGCGACGAAGATATGGAACGAAAAGAAAAAATATCATGTCTGAACCCGGAATCGAACCGGAGACCTCCAGTGTGTGAGACTGGCGTGATAACCGACTACACCATCCAGACTTGCAATTTAGTTCGTCATTCAAGTACTCACCAGTTGGCGGTCAGTCAGTCAGTTAGTTAGTCAGTCAGGCTATCAGTACTGGTTTGGTGAGAGGCGAAGCTAAGCGAGCGGGTATATTAGGAAGTGTGGAAGGGAGGAGAAGAGTATGAGGAGTGGATCAGGGCATCGTACATATTCTGATTATCTTCGTCTCTCCTTGTCCCTCCTTCCGTCTGTCACCCTCCCTGCATGCAGGCACCTCCCAGCAACGCCTCCCTCCTGAGCCAAGTACTGGGAGAGCAGGAGCTGGTTCAGGGGCAAGGGCAGCCGCAAGGGGAGAAGGACGAGAAGGAAAACGGGGAGCATGTGAAATCAGAGGATGGCGACAAGAAGGAAGGCGAGAAGGGAGGCGAGAATAAAGTTCAAGAGGGGATGCAGATGTTGGGAAGCGGGGATGGGGGTGGTGGAGGGGCGGAGGTGGAGAGATTAGGTGGTGGGGAGGGGAGGAGGAAGGGGGGGAGTGTGGGGGTGTTTGTGGCGTCGCTGCGGGCAGCGTATGGGGAGATGCTGAGGGAGATGAGCACAGAGGGGCGGCCAGAGGGCGGGCAGGAGATTGCTGTTAGCATGTGAGTGAATGGGTGAAGCCTTGTGTGTGAACTGAGATTGCGTATGGGGAGATGCTGAGGGAGATGAGCACTGAGGGGCGGCCAGAGGGAAGCCAGGAGATTGCTGTCAGCATGTGAGTTGGCCCCTCTGCACGTTTTTTTCTGTGCTCTTGTGTATACGCTTGTGTGCGCTTGGGCAGGGTTGAGGATTTGTTCGTCTTTTTCACTTGCCCCACCCCCCTTCCCATCCCCTCGTTTCTTTGCCCCCTTACTCTACTCTCATCCAAGGCTGAGCCACGATGGAGATGACTTTTGAGTCGACTGGAAAGGCTGAGCCACGATGGAGATGACTTTTGAGTCGACTCAAAAGGCTGAGCCACGATGGATCACAGCAGCTGAGGGTAAAGAATCAGGCAGCGAGAGCGTTATAATCGACTCAATCCTCAACTGTCGCCTCCTCTTTCCCCCCACCTTGCTCCGCATAACCCCTCTCCTATTTCCCCTCCTCCTTATGCCCAGGCTGAGCCACGAGGGAGCACAGCAGCTGAGGGAGAAGAAGCAGGCAGAGAGGGCGCTGAGGGAGATGTGGCTGCTCTCCATGTGGTATGTGTGTGTGTGTGTGTGTGTGTGTGTGTGTGTGTGTGTGTGTGTGTGTGTGTGTGTGTGTGTGTCTGTCTGTGTGTATGTGTGTGTATGTATCTCCTTTGTATTCATGGCGTTATGCTCTCCACGTGCGGTGCGTCTATGTGGTAGGCATGTCATAAGCTTTTCGAATCAGGTTGCGATGGTGATTATGGCACAAATATTGCCCTAATCAAGCACACACCCTTCAGCTTTGAGACGCCTCTGTGCTCCCATGCCTCTCCTCCCTCTCCTCACTCACCTCAGTGACACGCTACTCATAACAGCCACGTCCACATTCGGTTACATAGCAGCAGGCCGAAAGGGGAATCTCTCTTTCCCTTTCTCTCCCCTCGGCCGAGTGGCCGAGTGTGGAATCGTTCAGTCAATTCAGCATTGTGGCTCGCTAAGTGCACTCACCCCACTCCCCCTTTCTCTCCTCACACTTCCCAGTGACACACTTCTGATCACGGACACATCCACATTCGGCTACATAGCAGCAGGCCTGGCGGGCGTTCGCCCCTACTCTCTCAACATCGTCGCTCGCTACCACAGCGACTGGCGCAAGAACAACCGAACCTCCTGCTCCCGAACCTCCCCCGAGCCTTGCTACTTGTCAATATTCGACGTCAAGTCGAGGCATATTCAGGTGAGGATCTAGCTACTCTGTATGTGAAGAAGGCTGAATTGAGCTGCTGAGACAGTTTTTTATGCGCCTCAGAAATATATTAGTCCTGGTATGTGTCCTTTTGTGAGAGAAGATCACTTCGAGCGACTGAGGGTACATTCCTCCCAAGACGCGTCTTCATAACTTCGCGTCACAAGCGTTATTCGTGACTGATTGTGATTAGACCAATCCAGCTAATGTGGCTGATCGCAATTAGTCACGAATAGCGCTTGTGACGCGAAATTCTGACGACGCGTCTTCGCAGGAATGCACCCTGAGGGGTGTGATTATCAACCTTTCAAAAAAGCATATTGTTCACCACAGCAGGACATAAGGTTTCCCTCTCATCATTACGGATTGCCCTTCCCCGTGCTGCCCAATGGCCCAAGAAATGAAGACGGTGACCCGGTTCTTCCTACCTTAGTCCTGCCACCCACCCATCCACCCACCCCATTTTTCTCCATGGCTGACTAGTACCCTAGAGTGCCCCAGCAGCCCTGTTTTGAGTTGATTCAAAAGCTTTTTCCCTCCACCCACCCAAATCCTTTCCTCCCTTACTGACTTCCTTGCAGTGCCCCAGCAGTCCTCCAGTCACCACACCAGCAGCTGTTTCCCCTCTCGTCGAATCTTGTCCCAATTACGGCATGGGCCTTTCAATTGTGCGAAAAGGCACAGACGAGACGACAGTCCTTTTTTAGTTGTGTAAATGAACAATTTTCAAAGAGCATGCTTTCGAATTGCCCTTGGTTTGTTCGCAGTTGTTTTTCCAACTTGGGTAGTGGTGGAAGGAACAAATTCAAACACAACAAATAGGTACTATAAATATGAAATATCTTTTTGGAGAAAACAAAAATTTAAGCCAATGTGATAACATGCAAAGGATCTAGATTCCAACAACTCAAGATTTGCGCCTAGTGATGCTTAAAAGGACGTGACGTGCTAGCGTTGTATGAATCTTCTAATCAGACAAAGAGTGCAGGCGCAAGCAGTGCCATCTCATAAATAATGAGGCAGCTCATAACGGAGACAAAAGCAACAGGAAGGCTGTCTGAGAGTCTATGGCAGAGAGGAGTACCTGAACGCCATGGCATCAGGTGTATTGTCAACCGCGGTAGCGTTGCGACCACGCTACCATGCGGCGTCCGAACTCGGTAGTGCTACCGTCCACCCGCGTGGTTCCTCCGCCCCCCAAAACGCTCCCGTCGCTTGCGCTCAATTACCCCCCTGTATATGTACCCCATTTTGGTCCTTTCCCAGGTGGGTGAGAGGAGAGCACGGTAGCACAACCGAGTTTCGACGCACCATGGTAGCGTGGTCGCGACGCTACTGGCTCGAAAATACACCCCGATTGGATATTTTCCCAGGTGGGTGAGAGGAGTTTTGCCGGCGGCGCGGAAATTTCTTCTCGGGTTCACGCCGCCGATGCCGCTGCAGATCACCCGCTATGGGCCTTCGGGGTCAGTGCTTGTCATGGGCTTGTCAGTGCTTGAGGCGCCTCAAAAGTCTCTGCAGATCACCCGCTATGGGCCTTCAGGGAATCCGGCCTTCCGAAGGCATGAGCCGTGCTAGGCAGCTTCAAACGAAACGTCATCACCGTTGATCAGCCTACTCGTACTCTCCCAGGTTCGCGCTGGTTCGTATCCGTTCTGTTTGCCGCTGTTGTGACACATTGAAATGGAGTTTTGAACTCCCTGTCGTAAGCTACTAGAAATCTCGCGTTCATCCCTGTCGTAAGCTACTAGAAATCTCGCATTCATCCCTGTCGTAAGCTACTAGAAATCTCGCATTCATCCCTGTCATAAACTATTAAGATTCTCGCATTCCTTGCATTAACGTAGCACGGCAGCATCGCCCGCATGCCAGGACTGATCGTTACTAAGTTTCAGAGCCTACTAAGACGTGATCCTGACTGTTACCGGCGAGTGACTACGTCGACTCGTCCGACCATGATGTTGCCGCGACTCGTCCTTGTCGCCACGCTGCTGTGTATAAGCCTCCTCGTTCCGGTAGGCCGTCCGTGAATCGTGATCGCTGCAAAAAGTAAAACATGCAACGTGCTATTCGAACAGGCCAATCAGTCATTCGCAGAGTCTGCGTAACCGTATTGAAAAAGAGGTTCCTTTTCGTGTCGTCATGGTGGAGCCATGCCGAATGGCTCTTTCGCGGCGTGCGTACCTGGGACTGGCTTGCCTTCCTGTGCCAATATCCCCCTCGTTCGCTTCTGCTGCTTCTGTTGCGCTTCTCTGTCAAATCTGCCGCCTTTGTACCTTGCAGATTTTCCCCTTGTTGCTGCTAAGGTGTGTGCTGGTGGGTGCCAGTGACATTACTGAAGGCATATAACCAATAAAATATCCTTCTTTTTGCCTTTGCTGCGTGTTTACATCCATCGCTGCTTGTCCGTTCCAGGTGAATCCCACCCTTGTTACTGCTGTCAAGCAACGGGGAATGCAGCATGTGTTGAGATTGGACACAGGGGGCCGTGCAGGGAGGCATGTCGGGAGGCATGCAGGGAGCAGTGTTCGGCGCTTGCTGTATGATCATGATGGTGCCTTGAGGTCGCGGCACCACCGGCTGACCAACTCGTGCTGGAGTGTGCATGAGAGGCACTATTACCAATCCGTGAGTCATCTTATCCATTCAAAGTGACTGGAGTCTACTTCAAAGTTCACCAAAGAATCACGATAGATTCATTCATAAGGCGCTACTTCCAACCCGTGTTTTGCTGTAGAATGCTTGACTAAGAACTTCCATCCACCCTTGCTTCCAGGCATCGTCTGCCAGCACGCCAATGACAGAGGAGCTGGCAGAGCGGCTGAAGGCGTATGCAGAGAGACAGGCGCGGTGCATCAACGGTGTGAAGGACTGGCCTGGTTTCCTCTCCAATCCGTGCGTGCCACGTGGCTGGATCTCATACCCACCCATGCTTGAATGTAGTGAATCATGATTCGCCATGTGTTCTGCTCTGCACACTCTCATCACACATAGCCACAAACTACCTCTTCTGAACTTGCTCTGTTCTGTTCGATGCTCCCTCTGAACTCCCACCGTGCAGTGCAAAAGGACTTAAAGACGGAGTGGATGCATCCTCCGTGCAGGAATGCTCTTACCTCTATCATCTCGACCCCGCATACAGCGGTAAGCGACGGCTTTTGAGGCGCCTCAAAAGTTTATTTTCTCGACCTTGCCTACAGCGGTTAGCCTTTGTCTGCGATGAGATGGGTGCTGTTGCGTTTATCACCTCAACTTCCACGTCCTTTGTATTCTAACAAGATTGAGAATAAATCCGTTTTGAGACGTCTCGGAGAAAAATTTGCTGTCGTTGAGCTGACGCGACTGCTGCTGTCATTATGCCTTCTCGCTCTCTCCCTCGTCTCTTTCTTCACCTACGCGCTCCTCACCAACCGCACACTCATCTCCCCGTGATTGAAGAAGGGTTTTGAGACGTCTCAAAACTCCTCACCAACCGCACACTCATCTCATCTCCCCTGTCTCCCCTTTCACTTAAGCCCTCCTCACCCACCACGCCTTCGGTTCCTCCCTTTTATTTTTGAAAACCTCACTTCACATACCCCCTCCAGGTCTGGGCAACCAGCTGCTCGCCCTCGTGTCTGCCTTCACCTACGCCCTTATCATCAACCGCAATTTCTGTTTTTTCCTGTCTGCCTTCCCTTCTCTCCACATCCCTTGTCCAGGTCTGGGCAACCAGCTGCTCGCCCTCGTCTCCTCCTTCACCTACGCCCTTCTCACCAACCGCACGCTAATCATCAACCCACACGCACAGGCAGCGCTCTTCCTCTGCGACCCCTTCGCCTTCACCCCCACCCCGTCCACCTGGATGCCCATGGACTCTCGGACCTTTGCGTGAGTTGAAGTGCTGAATGCTGAGTGCTGCCCCCTTGTGTCCCAAACCTTCGCCTTCACCCCCCCACTGTCGACCTGGATGCCCATGGACTCGCTCACATTCGCGTGAGTGTTGAGTGTTGACCCTATTCTGAATGCTGAGTGCTGCCCCCCTTATGTCTCAAACTCATTCCTCTGCGGCCCCTTCGCCTTCACCCCCACACTGTCGACCTGGATGCCCATGGACTCGCGCACATTCGCGTTAGTGTTGAGTGTTGACCCTATTCTGAATGCTGAGTGCTGCCCCCCTTATGTCTCAAACTCATTCCTCTGCGGCCCCTTCGCCTTGTCTTTTCGTCAAGTTCAAAAAAGCATATTTTTCTTTCTTACATTATTTTTATGAAGAGTCAAGTGTCGACCTGGATGCCCATGGACTCGCGCACATTTGCGTGAGTGTTGAGTGTTGACCCTATTCTGAATGCTGAGTGCTGCCCCCCTTATGTCTCAAACTCATTCCTCTGCGGCCCCTTCGCCTTGTCTTTTCGTCAAGTTCAAAAAAGCATATTTTTCTTTCTTACATTATTTTTATGAAGACTCAAGTGTCGACCTGGATGCCCATGGACTCGCGCACATTCGCGTGAGTGTTGAGTGTTGACCCTATTCTGAATGCTGAGTGCTGCCCCCCTTATGTCTCAAACTCATTCCTCTGCGGCCCCTTCGCCTTGTCTTTTCGTCAAGTTCAAAAAAGCATATTTTTCTTTCTTACATTATTTTTATGAAGACTCAAGTGTCGACCTGGATGCCCATGGACTCGCGCACATTTGCGTGAGTGTTGAGTGTTGACCCTATTCTGAATGCTGAGTGCTGCCCCCCTTATGTCTCAAACTCATTCCTCTGCGGCCCCTTCGCCTTGTCTTTTCGTCAAGTTCAAAAAAGCATATTTTTCTTTCTTACATTATTTTTATGAAGACTCAAGTGTCGACCTGGATGCCCATGGACTCGCGCACATTCGCATGAGTGTTGAGTGTTGACCCTATTCTGAATGCTGAGTGCTGCCCCCCTTATGTCTCAAACTCATTCCTCTGCGGCCCCTTCGCCTTCACCCCCACACTGTCGACCTGGATGCCCATGGACTCGCGCACATTTGCGTGAGTGTTGAGTGTTGACCCTATTCTGAATGCTGAGTGCTGCCCCCCTTATGTCTCAAACTCATTCCTCTGCGGCCCCTTCGCCTTCACCCCCACACTGTCGACCTGGATGCCCATGGACTCGCGCACATTCGCGTGAGTGTTGGGTGCTGAATGCTGAATGCTGAGTGCTGTGAGCGTGAGTGCTGAATGAAGAGCCTTTGGTCTCATCTGACCCCTTCTCGTTCACGCCCACCTTTGCGAGAGTTCCTCTTAGCCATGCACGCTATTCGTTTCTCCTCCAGCCCCTCTCTCCTCTCTTATCTCTCCCTTCTCCTGTCCTGTCGTCCCATCCCTCCTCTCCATCGCTGCAGTGCGCAGCGCGATGTGATCACGAAGCAGTCTCCGAGGTTCGGCACGCCAGCATACGCTGCAGCCGTGGACGCTCTGAGCAGCAGCAGCAGCAGCACTACCAGCCGCAGAACCATGAATAACACAAACGCTAGCACCACTGAGGAGGAAGAAAACAGTGCAACGCCAGAACTCCCTTGTGCTGCTGCTGCTGCTGCTGCCACTATACTCAACAGCAGCAGCAGCAGCAGCAGCAGCAGCAGCAGTGTTGAGAGGATCAACATGGTTTACGCAGAGCTCAAATTCTCGTATGCTTCTGCTACCCTCTGCTCCCCTGCTCGCCGCTTCCCATTGCTCAGAGCCGTCCCTCGTCATTGTCTCACCCACCCGCAAACCATCACCTCAGACTTCCACGTTCTCGTTCCCCCTCCCTCCCCATTCCCCCCTCCCTCCCCATGCCCCTTCCCTCCCCATGCCCCTTCCCTCCCCATGCCCCTTCCGTCCCCATGCCCCTTCCGTCCCCATGCCCCTTCCCTCCCCATGCCCCTTCCCTCCCCATGCCCCTTCCCTCCCCATGCCCCTTCCCTCCCCATGCCCCTTCCCTCCCCATGCCCCTTCCCTCCCCATGCCCCTTCCCTCCCCATGCCCCTTCCCTCCCCATGCCCCTTCCCTCCCCATGCCCCTTCCCTCCCCATGCCCCTTCCCTCCCCATGCCCCTTCCCTCCCCATGCCCCTTCCCTCCCCATGCCCCTTCCCTCCCCATGCCCCTCCCTCCCATTCCCCCTCCCTCCCCATGCCCCTTCCCTCCCCATGCCCCTTCCCTCCCCATGCCCCTTCCCTCCCCATGCCCCTTCCCTCCCCATGCCCCTTCCCTCCCCATGCCCCTTCCCTCCCCATGCCCCTTCCCTCCCCATGCCCCTTCCCTCCCCATGCCCCTTCCCTCCCCATGCCCCTTCCCTCCCCATGCCCCTTCCCTCCCCATGCCCCTTCCGTCCCCATGCCCCTTCCGTCCCCATGCCCCTTCCCTCCCCATGCCCCTTCCCTCCCCATGCCCCTTCCCTCCCCATGCCCCTTCCCTCCCCATGCCCCTTCCCTCCCCATGCCCCCTCCCTCCCCATTCCCCCCTCCCTCCCCATGCCCCTTCCCTCCCCATGCCCCTTCCCTCCCCATGCCCCTTCCCTCCCCATGCCCCCTCCCTCCCCATTCCCCCCTCCCTCCCCATGCCCCTTCCCTCCCCATGCCCCCTCCCTCCCCATTCCCCCCTCCCTCCCCATGCCCCTTCCCTCCCCATGCCCCTTCCCTCCCCATGCCCCTTCCCTCCCCATGCCCCTTCCCTCCCCATGCCCCCTCCCTCCCCATTCCCCCCTCCCTCCCCATGCCCCTTCCCTCCCCATGCCCCTTCCCTCCCCATGCCCCTTCCCTCCCCATGCCCCTTCCCTCCCCATGCCCCTTCCCTCCCCATGCCCCTTCCCTCCCCATGCCCCTTCCCTCCCCATGCCCCTTCCCTCCCCATGCCCCTTCCCTCCCCATGCCCCTTCCCTCCCCATGCCCCTTCCGTCCCCATGCCCCTTCCGTCCCCATGCCCCTTCCCTCCCCATGCCCCTTCCCTCCCCATGCCCCTTCCCTCCCCATGCCCCTTCCCTCCCCATGCCCCTTCCCTCCCCATGCCCCCTCCCTCCCCATTCCCCCCTCCCTCCCCATGCCCCTTCCCTCCCCATGGCCCTTCCCTCCCCATGCCCCTTCCCTCCCCATGCCCCCTCCCTCCCCATTCCCCCCTCCCTCCCCATGCCCCTTCCCTCCCCATGCCCCCTCCCTCCCCATTCCCCCCTCCCTCCCCATGCCCCTTCCCTCCCCATGCCCCTTCCCTCCCCATGCCCCTTCCCTCCCCATGCCCCTTCCCTCCCCATGCCCCCTCCCTCCCCATTCCCCCCTCCCTCCCCATGCCCCTTCCCTCCCCATGCCCCTTCCCTCCCCATGCCCCTTCCCTCCCCATGCCCCTTCCCTCCCCATGCCCCTTCCCTCCCCATGCCCTATCCCCCTGCCGCATCCTCCTCCTGCCCGCCACTCCTGCCCCATGATTCTCGTCCCTTGTGCCCTGCTGGTTCTCGCATGGTGGATGTGTGTCGGTGTTATGCTGTGCCTGCGTAGTTCGAGTCGACTCAAAATCAGGCCCGGCACGTCTTTCCCATGATTCTCGTCTCTTATTTTCCTTATGCCCTTTCTGTCCCTTGTGCCCTGCTGGTTCTCGCATGGTGGATGTGTGTCGGTGCTATGATGTGCCTGCGTATGCGAGCGCATGTGCATGCCTGTGTGTCTCCATGTTTGTGCCTTTGTGTGTGCATGTGAGTGTGTTTATATGCCTCTGTGTGTGTGTGTGTGTGTGTGTGTGTGTGTGTGTGTGTGTGTGTGTGTGTGCGTGTGTGCATTCGAGTGGTCGAGTGTGTGTGTGCACATGAGTGTGTGAGCATGTTTGTGTGTGAGTGCGTGCATGTGTGTGTGTGTGTGTTTATCTGTATGTGTGCATCCATATTTGTGGACATGCATGCATGCATGTGTGTGTCCGTAGTGCATCAGAGGCAGACCTAGCATTCTTCTGTCCGCACCACCAGCAGCACCAACACGGCTCTCTCTCCTCGGTTCGAGTCCTCGGTCTGCTTTCCGACGCCTACCTTCTCCCTGCTCTCTACCACGCTCCGCACTTACAGGTAATGTAACAACCCAGCGCCAGTACCAGCAGTAAGTAGCAGCGACGACACCAGGAGCACCAGCAGCAACAGCACCAGCAGCAACAGCACCAGCAGCAACAGCACCAGCAGCAACAGCACCAGCAGCAACAGCACCAGCAGAAGCAGCACCATCATGGTTCCCTCTCCTCTGTTCGCGTCCTCGGTCTGCTAACCGACTCCTACCTTCTCCCCGCTCTCTACCACGCACCGCACTTACAGGTAAGTGACCTCTCTTACGGGTGAGTAAACTCGCCTGGTCTCCCTTCGTCTGCCACTCAAAGTCTCTGAGGCGCCTCACAAAACGGAAGCCTACGAAGTCCAGCAAGGCTTTTTACCATCCGCCATGCTGGGAGCTTTTGATGCGACTTTTGAGGCGCCTCAAAAGTTCGAGGTGCCTCACAAAGTGAAGCCTACGGAGTCCTTGCTTCATACCATACGCCCCGCTGAAAGGTGTGTTGGAGCAGGGCGGGTGGTATAAAGCATCGGCCATGCTGAAAGCTGAGTAGTCTATTTCTTTGACCCTGTGGCCTTTCTTCCCCCAGGCTGTGTTGACTTTTGAGGCATCTCACAAATGAAGCCTACCAAGTCCTTGCTTTATACCACCCGCCCCGCTGAAAGCTGAGCAACTCTAGTTTCCTTCTTGACCCTCTGCCCCTCTTTCCCCAGGCTGAGTTGGAGCGGCTGTTCCCCGACCGCCTGCCGCTGATGCACGTTGGGAGGGGCGCTACCTGCTGCATGAGTGCTGTCTGCTCTCACCTCTGTATCCCCTGCCCCCTGTGTTCCTTCCGCCCCCCTGTCTAACAGGCTGAGTTGGAGCGCCT